CCTCGCTGCATTGGTTGGGGCTCGAGGAGGCGTGCCTGCATTGGTTGGGGAGCGAGGTGCGAGCTGTGGAGTACTGAGAATGAAAAACTCTGGTTTCAAGATTTTACCAAAACGATTATGCCTGCAGGTTATCCCCAGAGATTTACTACTACCAGAGGAAAAGGAGCCCTGTACTCAGGCTGAGCATCTAATCCATCCTTAAGGGGACCTCTGGATCCAGCAGATTTCTATCATTTCTCAAGGCTTGATGACTACACCATAGAAGGAAGTTCACCTAACTAGCCCATCTACCCACAGATACCTTGGTGGGATTTTATATATATTTGAACTTTACTTGCGGAACTTATTTATACTTTTGTACAGGATATCCTTTTATTGGTAATTTTGTTTATCATATATTTATTACATTCAGCGCTACACCCATACTTTATTGATCTATTTGAAGGTTTTATCTTGGTACCTTTTGGTGTTTTAGCAGCTGTTTTATAGGAGCGCTCACTAACTTCCATACTATATAATTTCAAAATGTACTGTATGTCTTTAAAAATACAAATCTACATTTTTGGAATGCGTTTACAAATATATGTAAAAATATATGTTAACATGACTTTTTTATATGTTACAAAAAAAATCTGAAGAATATATGTAGAAAAATATATATTTTTTTAAATATATAAGTCATTTTAACATATTTGTTTACATATATTAGTAAATGCATGTATTTTTAAAGACATACAGTATATGTGAAATGTATGTTTAAAAATATTTTTCATATATTTTGTAATAAAAACGCATTTCAACATGCAGCATATATATATATATATATATATATATATATATTGAAATATATTTTGAAATATATTGAATACGGACAAAACTGTAGTATTTCAAATATATGTCAATGTGTTTGGGAAGAATATTTTTAAAATATATTTCAAATATATTTTTCTTCCATATGGGTAAGACTACAACACAAAGAATGCAGGGGTCAGTAGTATAGAACACAAAGCCACCTAGTGGCAGGCAAACTAGCTGCATCTGAAAACAGTGGGAGAGTAATGCAAGAAATTTGAAAGGTGGAGAGCGCAGAAGGGGGTGGGTGGATGGCACTTTTCTCAGTAGCAACGAGTGCTTTTGACTCTAACATTGCAAAAAGACAGCTACTCATAACAATATGCAGTGGTTACCACGATGGCTCTGCAGGGATGATTTTTTACCAAAAACTGTACATGTGTATGCAAATCTACCTAAATTTGGCATATATCTGCATACAGGCAGCATGCAACCATTCATTACTATGAGTGGCTATAAACTGCAGATGTTTCCCCAGGGTGCAGAAATACACCCACAACTTACGTTGTATATGCACAAGCGCATGAGGCCTGCCCTGTCTAGTTTATACTGCTGTCTGTTTTCCCACGGGTGAGATTCACCCTTTTTTATTTGTTCTAGTAACCATTGTCACTGGAACAGAAAGTGAAGCAGAGTCCAACATTTTCAGATGTAACAGGAAAATAGGGTAAGTCCACAAGGGGGACACCAGCTACAGTGACTACTGAGAAAGGATTGTTCTTACTTTAGAGAGATTTAGAAAATCTCCCTGATGGGTCACAGATGGCAAAAAAACCCACCCCTGACAGCAGTTTTAAACTTTTCCTCCTATTATTTCAATTTTAAACATACTTTAATATGAATTAACAGCTTCCACTGTCAGCTTCCTACTGCAGATGTTAGCCTTGTCATTTTTATTGTATCTAGAAGTTTCTTTAAAAGGTGAACTTCAGGCAAAAAAGTTTTCATTTAAATATATCAATAGCCACAAACAGGGGCGGACTGACAACTCATGGGGCACCCAGGCAATAGGGGATCATGGGGTCCCTGTGTCCTTGCCCAAACTCAAAAAACCTATGAAAAAGGTACCAGGGGCATCTCATGGGGCCCCCTACTGACCCCGGGCCCTCGGGCAGTGCCCGGGTTTCCAAATGGTCAGTCCGCCCCTGGCCACAAAGGATATACATTCACTTTGCGAGCACAAAAATGCCTTTAGATAGCAAGTTTTACTTTGTAAAATTAGCAGTAAAGAAATGAATGTGCTGTGCATAGACTGTGCATAGACTGTGCAAACTGCAGCAGTTACTAGTCTTCAGGGCAGAAAGCCCATGTACAGAGGCAAGTTTCATGATGGGTCAATGCACAGACATGGAAAAAATACACACGGCACATCAAGATTTAAGTAAAAACACACATGCCTCTTGTATTTAGTCAATATTTGCTATTCCAGAGTTCAGCTTTATACAACTTATCATATAGGGTAAAATATTGTCCAATAATGGAACCTATGGTTAACGATTATCAAATACTTGGTTCAAAGCAGAACTAGACAAGCAGCAGCTTCATATTACTGCATTCATCAGTACTGTAATGGCTGGTATCATATCTTTGCTAATTCATGTTTGGAATATTATGAAAATGTAAATGAATCATGAAAAAGAACATTATTTTGTTTGCTCTTCTTCACAGGCATGCACAGAACAGTTATAGTAGGTAAAATGGGTAAAGGGATTACAACTGTAATTCAATTAGTGGATTTCTTTAAGCAGGAAATCTTCTGTGTAGATGCTGAATGAGCTAAACACAACTATTACTATCACTGGTTCAATGTTAGAGTGGCTAGGCAATTCATGTGTAGTGCTTCCCCTGCAGGAGCCGCTTGGTAATGTGGATTCTCTTCTGCGCCTCAACTCCAAAAATACCCTTAGTCCCTTTGACACACCTGGTTGAATGAAAGTTACTGCAAGCACCTATAATTGCTCCTTCCCCCCATGTTCGTGCGCAAAGGCGAATGCATATGTAGGTTGCACTTGCATATGTAAATGGTGTTCGAACCTATGACTGATGGAGTGAGGTCACCACAACGTCCCTTGTGAGCTGAGTACCGGCTGTGATGGAGGAAGCAGCCACAGTGGAACATGAGCAAGGTAAGTATAATTGCCCCAGGGCGATCTTTTGCAGAGATACTTCAAAGAAGAAATCCAGGTATGGAAAGTTTTACTTATTGTTACAATTGGACCAATGAAACTATGTATATGCCATTCCTGTGGGATCCCTCTAGAAGCTGGAAGTCTCTGTAGTAGACATCACTATGTCAATGATCTCTATTAGCTGCTGGGCCTGGTGCCAAGTGGCTGCTCTGCTGCATTGCAAACCTAATTAGATCAAATGCCATTCAGAGAAAGCTTTGCATATTCTCATTGAATTCAAAGCATTCTCTGGATGAGGTGGAGAGCATGATGTTGCATCCCCACCTCATCCAATCAGAGAATGCTTTTGCATTCTCTGATTGGATGAGGTGAGGATGCAACATCATCCAATCAGAGAATGCTTTTCATTTATTAAAAAAATGCATAGCAATCTCTGAATGGCACCCATGATTGGCAATGGACCCAGAAGATAGTAAAGATCACTGGGGTAGAGGTGTCTACAACAGTGATTTCAAGTTTCTAGAAGGATCCCACAGGTATGGTATATGCATGGTTACATTCGTCCAATCTGGACTATTGTAACTATATGAAAATATCTATACCTGGAATTCTTCTTTAAGTACTTAACCACTTGCCAACCGCACTGTAGCCAAATGACGGCTGCAGTGCGGTTGTCCAGTTCTGGGAGGGCGTCAGATGACGTCCTCCCAGAACGCACCCTTCTGCGCGCTCCCCTGGGGGTGCGCACCCGGTGATCTCTGTGATCAGCTGGGTCCTACGGACACAGCTGATCATGTGATGAGGTAAAAGGCCTTTTACCACGTGATCAGCTGTGTCCAATGACACAGCAGATCACTGGGTAAATGCAGTTGCTGGTCATCGGCAGAACTTTGACAATTGGTGTGACAGCATGAGGAAAGTACTGCCAATAACCACCAATTGTCAGAGTACGGATTGGCACCGATCATCAGGGCACTGATGATCAGTACCCACCAGTGCCACCCACCAGTGCCGCCCACCTGTGTCCAGCAGTGCCACCCACCTGTGCCCATCAGTGCCTAGTAGTGCCGCCCACCTGTGCCCAGCAGTGCCACCCACCAGTGTCCAACAGTGCCCCCCATCAGTACCACCCATCATTGCTTCCCAGCAGTGCCACCAGTCAGTGCCATCAGTCAGTGCCACCCATCAGTGCTGCCTATCAGTGCCCACCATTGTTGCATATCAGTGCAGCATCATCAGTGCTGCCTCATCAGTGCCAGCTCATAAGTGCTGCCTATCAGTGCTGCCTAGCCGTGCCACCTCATCAGTGCCGCCTATCAGTGCTCATCAGTGCTGTTTATCAGTGCCCATCAGTGCTGCCTACCAGTGCAGCCTTATCAACACACATCAGTGAAGGAGAAAAATTACCTGTTGCAAAATTTTATATTAGAAACAAAGAAAACCTTTTTTTTTTCAAATGCTTTGCTCTTTTTTTGTTTATAGCACAAAAAATAAAACACCCAGTGATAAGTAAATACCACCAAAAAAAAAGCTCTATATGTGTTAAAAAAATGATAAAAATTTCATATGGGTACAATATTGCATGACCGCGCTATTGTGATTCAAAGTGCAACAGCGCTGAAAGCTGAAAATTGGCCTGGGCAGGAAGGGGGTATAAGTGCCCGGTAGGCAAGTGGTTAAAGTGTTACTAAACCCAGGATCCTGCATTCACTATATCTGGTCTCCCACAGTACACACAACATGGAAATTATTGAATGCATGAAGGTAAAAAAAAATTTAGCTTTCACAACCACTTTAAGAGACACATACCAAGAACAAGTATATTTTAACCGCTTCCCATTCGCCCTATAGCAGAAATACTGCTACAGGGCAGCACGGGTGTGCAAAATCACGTATATAAATGCAGCTGCGGCTGTCAATTACCGGGTCCCGGCTGGTAATTACTCGCCGGTGTCTGGTGATTTCCGACAATCACCGACGGGAAGAAGGACTGTTTTGTTTACTAACAGTCCTCCTCCCTGTCAGCTTGGGCACACTGCTCTGGATAGCTGTGCACAGCACAGCCATCCAGAGCAGTGTGCTTACAGTGAAACACACAGACACCGCCCTATAGTAAAACACTTCCTACACATAGTTAACCCTTTGATCGCCCCTCATGTTAACCACATCCTGCCCAGTGCCACTAGTACAGTGTCAGTGCTTTTTTTATCCATGATCACTGTATTGCTGTCACTGGGGATGTCAGTGACACCAAGTCAGTTCCCCCCCCAGTGTCAGAATGTCCGCCGCAGTCCCACAGTCCCGCTATAAGTTGCTGATCACCACCATTACTAGTAAAAATGAAGAAACAAAAAAATCCCAGTATATATACCGCCATTTGTAAATGCTATATCTTTCACATAAACCAATTAATTTACACGTATGGGGATATTTCATAGCAAAGACATGTAGCCGAATACATTTGGCTTAAAGTTATGATGAAATTTGATTTTTAATTTTTTTTTACTGGACAGCAAAAAGTCAAAAACATTCTTTTTCTTTTTTCTCAAAACTGTCGGACTTTTTTTTTTATAGCGCAAAAAAAATAAAAAACGCACAGGTGATCAAATACCACCGAAAGAAAGCTCTATTCGTGGGAAAAAAAGGACATAAATTTCATTAGGGTGCAGCATGTCAGAAATTGTCAGTTAAAGTAACGCAGCGCTGCAACGCAAAAAATGGCCTGGTCAGGAAGGGGGGTAAATCCTCAGGACGGCAAGTGGTTAAATATGTGTTAGAAAAGTACTAGAATTTTTTGTCTTTGCGCATGTTTCAGGACAGCAACTCAGAAGGGATTGAAGCCAAAGCTACAGCACAACAGGCAAGGAACTAGAATAGGAATGGGTTTAGCAATGGCAACGTTCATTCATCTTCTAAGTATTTCATAACCTAAACAATCTGAAGTTACTTGTCCTAGAACTGGATGGCTCTGACCTTTCTGATGGTCAAAGTGGTTTATACTTTAGATTGCAAGCTCCATGAGCAGGGCCCTCCTATTCCTTCTGTACTGAAATGTATTTTAATTGTACTGTCTCCCTTTATATTGTAAAGCACTGCACCAACTGTTCTTGCTATATAAATCCTGTATTATAATAATACTAGGCAGCACAGTGTTAATAGAACACATTATACAACTTGGCTTGTATAAACATGTTATTCAACATGACATTCATGAATAAATAAATATGTTTCAGGAGCTTAGTATCAGGACTGAACATACTGGAAACCAATGCTTAGCAGGAATTGTATATTTATGCACACAGCTCAATTACTGTCCACTAATCCTATAGACATTGCTAACTGTTGCTTCTTAGCCACATTTATTCTAAATTGGCAGCTAACAGAGATGAGCTTCCAATGCAGCAAAGTTTCATGAATATCTCATTTATTGCATAGAAATAGGATGTTTTAAATATGAATTTCTGAATGTCAATAGTAGCTTATATATTAAAAGAACTGATGCATTATATGTGTGTATATAAGGAAGGTTGCTCCAAAAGTGTATAATGTACATGTTGGAAAGTGCAGATTAAAGGAAGGATCACATTTGCTAAGTATGAAAGCACATGCTGACGTAAAAATGTAAATCTTGTGGCACAGGGTCACATAAGTCTCTAGTCTATACCATGGCAGCTAATTGGCTTAGTGCGTCCAAGGTCACTGTTACGTTCTTTGCTTTCTTTTTATGTGCTTTCCTCATGTAGGCTTTCTAAGTAGCAGCTATTTTTGCATATACCAAGTGACAGCTAGGAAGAAACTGATGCCCTGGATTTCTCACTTAAAGTATACCTATTCAGTTTTTAAATTACAAATGAAAGGTAAAACATTTATGTATACATATTAAAAATACCTTTTTCTTCCCTTTTTTTAATAAGTGATTATATACCTTCTCTTCTCAGCTGCATAAGAACTAGGGGAGGAGAAGCAGCATTGGTCTTCCCAGTGAATGGCTGTGCAAAGGAAGGGAGGGGGGGGGGCGTGTCAGCACAAGCCTGATCATAGCTGCTATAATTTCTGTATATAGCCCTACAGAACAGACAGCACACAGTCTGTTTTTCTGCTTCACTGCAATAAGGAAACAGGAACCTTTATTCAGAAAAAGATATGGGGTTTAGCAGAGATGCAGCTACAAGCTTATCAACACTGCCATCTACTGGTTGAGGAATATATCTCTACATAGTTGTTGCACAAAATACATGAACACTGTATTCCCATACCCAACTCAACAACTTCTCCTTATATTAGTCCCATTTCAGATCTCAGTTCTATAAATCTGTTTTTTGTCAGCATGCTTACCATGAGGTAGCTCCGAAAGTGTCCATGTCTGCAGTTCACTAAGAAATGTCACGTTTTTATTAGCAGCTTTGATCCACTTTTGTCTCTCATGTGTTAGAAGTCTTCACCAGCAAGGCTCCCACTTTCCATTTCATTACACATCTGCATAATACTGCAATACTGCAATACTGCATACGGCTGGTCATCAGCTCTGAGGAAAGGGATTCGTCCCCGAAACGCGTCAGCCATTTGACCGCACTGACAGTGAGAACACCTTGCCTGCCGTTGTGGCCATTGTCATTTTTCTATGCTTTTTAGATACATGCTTCGTCTGTGAGTATGTTTTTATTATTCTTTCACTCCTACAATAAACCTTGGATAATGCACTAGGTGTATGCGCCACCTGTTTTCTCTTTATCCAGTGGCTGATTTCCCCATCTGAGGAGGGCTGCACCCCTGAAGCATTTCCTTTGGTTGTCGCTGTCCTGGTACCCTTGGCTTCCCTTTTGGGTGTGCATATCCTGAGGCGCTGGAGAGTACATACGATATCCGGTTCGGTTGTACAATTCTGTATGCCTTTTGAGATTTACTGTACATGACACAACAAGATAAAAAAGCAGTGCCATTTAAGTGCAACAATTTAAAGCAACATAATTATTTCTACAGTAGAAAACTCACAAGAATACACTTGGATTAAGCATCTCACAAGCTCTCACTGGTACACTGGCATCGGGTCCGCTGTTAAGGGATTAGGGTCCGTTGGTGGTTCCCAGGGCTTTCTGGCTTACGTGGATCCACAGATGACAGCTGGTGGAGGAGACAGGAGGTGGGGCATGCGTTCGGGAGCATGCATGCTCCCTCATATGGCCTGATGAAGCCTTCATCCAACATGCAACAGAAGCTCAAAAGAGAATAAAATCCATTGTGCTCTCTGTGTATATACCACTATTTTTTTTTTAAATACACAAAATATATGTTAAAAACTCAACAAAAAAAATGCCCTTCTCCTGGTGCACTGCAGTGTAATGTAACTCAATGGAACGGTCTCACACAAAATGGCAGCCCACTCTCTTACAGTCTGTGCGGTGTGACATCATCAACCACTCCCTTTGATTTACTGTTTTCTGAATGACGCTCAGGCAAGCGACCCTTATGGTTACAAAGCGGAAGGGAAACCACTCAGCCAAGTTGGACCAATGTAACTAGGCAAAAAAAAGTTCAGCTTTAACTTTTCGCATAACAAATCTCAAGTTCATGTTCTAATACAAAATATTCTTGCGCAGTCTGCCAATTCTAAACAGTCCATAACACAGAGGAAAAATAAATAGAAGAGAGAAACATATACAACGGTTTCTTAGAGAATATGTTTGGTAGCCTTGGATCCTTGTTACACATTCAGCAGGTATCAGGCAAAATTCGAGCCAAGTATGGCCAGCCTTAGTCTGCTTGCAGATATAAATGGAGCTGTGCAGTTCTGCTGGGCCCTCTTGGGGACAGGTTTTGACACAGAAGCTGTACAGGTCAATATGAAACTGACCATCTTGTTGCATTTTTCAATCTAGACTTTCTTTACAGGGAGCAGTTTCAGCATTCCATGACTGAGCCCTTCTTGGACAGCAACCCTCCACTGTTGCGGATTTCTAAAATGTTGGCTAATTCTGGTGATCTTTCATAAATCTGTTGATTCGAGTAGTGCTGAAATGCTCCATCCCTTTCCCCAAAGCCCTTCTTCTTTTTCTGTTATGTTGCAGTGGGCATGCAAAGGTATTCTCCCAGCAGTGACATAATGTAAGGCACTTCTAGGCAATACTAATAATCTGTGATGTAGCGCTGCTAACAGATAATGAAAACATGTATAAATGAATTAAACCATAAAAAGCATCAAGCCATCAAGTTGTACCACGCTATAATACTGAGAATTCATATATGGTGAATAAAACACATGTAAGTGCACTCTAAATAATGATAAAATATATATAAATACATTAAAAAAGTTCATTCAATTCAAGAAAATGCGTGAACCAACACCATACAGTGAGGAACAGAAGTATTTGAACACCCTGCGATTTTGCAAGTTCTCCCACTTAGAAATCATGGAGGGGTCTGAAATTCACATTGTAGGTGCATTCCCACTCTGAGAGACAGAATTAAAAAAATAATTCAGGAAATCACATTATATGATTTTTAAAGAATTTATTTGTCTTGCACTGCTGAACATAAGTATTTGAACACCTGAGAAAATCAGTGTTAATATTTGCTACAGAAGCCTTTGTTTGCAATTACAGAGGTCAAACGTTTCCTGTAGTTCTTGACCAGGTTTGCACACACTGCAACAGGGATTTTGGCCCACTCCTCCACACAGATCTCCTCTAGATATGTCAGGTTTCGGTACTGTCGCTGAGCAACACGGAGTTTCAGCTCCCTCCAAAGATGTTCTATTGAATTTAGGTCTGGAGACTGGCTAGGCCACTCCAGAACCTTGATATGCTTCTTATGGAGCCACTCCTTGGTTATCCTGGTTGTTTTCTTCGGGTCGTTGTCATGTTGGAAGACCCAGCCACGACCCATCTTCAATGCTCTGAATGAGGGAAGGAGGTTGTTGCTCAAAATCTCACAATAAATGGCCCCATTCATCCTCTCCTTAATACAGTGCACTCATCCTGTCCCCTTCGCAGAAAAGCACCCCAAAGCATGATGTTACCACCCCCATGCTTCACAGTAGGGATGGTGTTCTTGGGATGCAACTCATCCTTCTTTTTCCTCCAAACACGACGAGTGAAGTTTAGACCAAAAAGTTCTACTTTGGTCTCATCTGACCACATGACTTTCTCCCATGCCTCCTCTGGATCATCCAGATGGTCATTGGCAAACTTCAGACGGGCCTGGACATGTGATGACTTGAGCAGGGGAACCTTCCATGCAATGCATGATTTGAAACCATGACGGCGTAGTGTTCTACCGACAGTGACCTTTGAAACTGTGGTCCCAGCTCTCTTCATGTCATTGACCAGCTCCTCCCTTGTAGTTCTGGGCTGATTCCTCACCTTTCTTATCATCAGTGATACCCCATGAGGTGAGATCTTGCATGGAGCCCCAGTCCGA